TGACATCCATGTGAATGCAGTGTCTCCCATGAAGAACACAAATCCAGTAGTGCTTTTTCTGTCGTCAGAATCTCCTGCCTTTGTGTTTAACTTTGTGAGGGAAGAGAGAAAATCAAACACGGGAGCTTGACGCGTGCATGGAAACATTCTTAATCACTTGAACTACATGACCGTTCTTCATACATAACTTTTTAATTACCTGAACTATATTATCATTTATGCCTGATGATGTTTCTTTATATATAATGTGTTGCCATTTCGTTTCACAATCCCACTAACATTAAATTGCTTTCGCATTGGGCGTACGTACGTATGTAATAATCTTCGGAGATCCAGTCACTACTCACTAGTCGCTGTACCCATCTTATTCTTATCTAGCGAGTGGTAGCGATTATCAAGACATACGGGGTGACGTTTTTTTAACCTTGCAAGCAAAAGCATCTATATGAATAAGAGTTTGAAATACATGAACAACTTCCATTTTTGGAAGAGAAGTAAAGCATATATGAAGTAGAGAGACCATTTTTGGAAGACAACTAACCACTCTTGAAGTTGATGTGTGGAATTTTTTTTTTATAGAAAGGTATAGAGAAAAAAAAGGAGAAAAATATATGATCGGGAGGCGACCGCAGTGCGGTTGATCAATGATCACTCTCATACCGATGGGGTCAAGTGCATTGTGTGCCACTCCGATGAACCGTGGCCACAATGCAACTGTCGTATTCAAGTCCTTCTTCTTTAGCCACAATTTTTTGTTTTTCAAAGACTTGATTTAGATCCGAAAATGCAACATATAGTCCACAATTTTTTTCTTTCTTATAAAACTGAAAAATAATCTCTCCACAAGCACTCAGACACACTACGTATATGACTTAGAGTTTTTAATCATGTGCTCTAGGCGTGACTTTCAAAATTTTATTTTATTTAGACATTTTTATTTTATTGGTATACTAGCGTTGTGCACAGCAAAAAACACCTTGACACACATTTTGACACCCGTTTTGTAGCACCCACTTCGTAATGTATATCAACAATCCAAACATCCTAAATGGATCATCCTTAAAAAAATTAGACAAATCTGAAATCATTAAGGCATTCATCTGTAGTGAAGAAATGAACAAATACGATTCTACAAACAAAGACTAAGTTTAACCTAACGGTCATATGGTTTTGGATTGGGGTTTTGGTAGACATGATCTTTGAGGGAAGACCTAAAAGATAAATGGTTCAGATAGTTGAAATACATTACGGAGTGAGTTCTACAAGAAAGTGTGTCAAATTGTGTGTCCCCAAAACTTGGCCCTATATATATAAAGCATCTTACAAATAAAATGTGGAAATAGAATAGAAAATTTTAAGTCGTGCATGGTGCAGTATCTTACTTTGCTTCTGGTTTTCCTTTTCCTCCTTGGTTGCTCTAGACTCATTGAAGAAACTGTATTTCTTGGTTGCAACACATGGTTTTTCGTTATACTCATACATTTTGAGTGGGGAATGTAGTTGCTCACAAATTATCCAATTTTGAGCTTCTCTCATCTTCTCTTGTTTGGCATGTTGATCCTCCTCTTGAGATTCTTCCTTTTCTGCAATTAGATTTCATAGGCGGGACCTACAATTTTATTTGTTCTTCTTGATGTGTCATTTTATTTTTTACCTAATCCTTTTGGATAATCTTTTTTGTTTTGCAGCTTTTCTTGCATGTTCTTACCTTTTAGGTTTTATTTTGGAGGGGTTTGGTCCTATGTCCCCCCCCTCCTTCTCTTTTCCTTGTATTTTCTTTTTGGAGAGGGGCAAGGTTTATGTTCCCCCCTCCCCTCTTTTTCTTGTATTTTTTTTTCAAGAAGGGTAAGGTTTATGTCCCCCCCCCCTATTTTCTTGTATTTGGTCTTTCTTTATAAGAGGTAAGGTTTATGTCCCTTTTGATTAGATGTGACTTTTTTTTTTCATATCAATAAACTTCTCTTATACCGTCAAGGTTCTCAAAAAAAAAAAAAGAGCATAGGAGTGCTAAGTGTATGTTTCAACAAAAAAAACCGTGTACGGATACTAACTAATAAACCAAAATCCTTCATCTTCACTTGTAAGTTAGAGGTTTTAGGTTCGATTCTCGCCAAATGCGAATTTGAACAATATTATTGCTGCACATTGTGAGGCTTAGCCCGCTCCCAACCCCTTAGGGCCTATTTGTTTGGCTTCTCTAAGTCTCACTGGACTGGATTGGAGTATAGTCCAGTGTTTGTTTGGAACACATACTACTTTTAATGGTACTACGAGGGACTCGCCTCGACTAGCAACCTCCTTAGGTGGTCTTACCGAGACCCCCCCCCCCGAAAACAACAGGACTGCTAAGACCGAATTTGTTCGTCAGCTTTGCTTGTCTTCTTCGTTCGTCTACTTCGCTCGCCAACTTTCCCAACGGGTCTCAAATCGCTGGGCTCCAGCTCGGAGATGAATCTGGGTTGGCTGGATCTGGGGCCTTGGAAGATGACGGTGGTTTGTTGTTTGATACAGGATCTGCCGCCATGGCTGTCCAGTAATTACCAAACTGCCATCTCTCTTGCTCGTCAGATATTTGTCGACTTCCTCACCCTACTGATTAGTAATCGAATTGAAGGTGAGGTGGGTTTTTTACCCGACTTCCTCACTCGTCGGATACTTACCGACTTCCTCACCCGACTTTCTGAGAATGTGTGAAAAGAATGGAATTGCTGATGAGAGAGAGAGAGAGAGAGAGAGAGAGAGAGAGAGAGAGAGAGAGAGAGAGAGATTGAGAGGGAGATGGACGGGAAAGTAGAGAGATTTGGGGAAGGAGACAAGAGAATTCTAGAAAAAAAAACAAAATGAAAATAAAAGAAAAAAAAATAAAGTATTAAAAAACATATAGATTAAATAGTATAATATTATAATTTGATAATTTATAAAAACATATTAAAAAAGATAGGGATTAAATAATATAATTTTAGAGTTTGTTAATTATTTTGCTTCTTAGTCTGACACTGCACAAAACGCTTCACTAAGTTAGTCCAGTTTAGTTTAGTCTAAGTCAGTCCAGCTTAGTCCCTGAAGTTAGTCCAGTTTGAGACAGTCCGGTGCAACAAACGCACCCTTAGTGAATATCATTTGCTCAAAAAAAAAAAAAAAAAAACCAAAATCCTTCCTAGGGTTGTTAAAACAAATTAGGAATTTAGGATAATAGGATGTCATTTTTTTCCTATATTTCATTTTTTTTAAGGCTTTTGGCTGAGACGATCTAATTTCAGTCTCTGATTGCTCAAATGATAAATTTTTAAATATGTAGTTGATATCTCCTCGCTATATCGTTGACATCTCATCCATATGTTGTCGATTTAATTTTGTTCAATTCAAAAATTGAAATTTGATGTTAAATCATTTTAGCCAGCATCCCTTATTTTAATAAAGAGTCTTAATAATTACTTTTAAATTAAGGATATTACAGTAATTCCAATTTAAACTCACTCAAATCTCTCATATCTTTTTTTCTTTTCTAATGTCATTATGTCATTGATATATTCAACATATTCTCGATTAATTTGTGTGTACCTTTACTACTAATTTTTTAATCGAAGATTTATGTTGGTACAGAGAGGGCTGAACTAAGCCCAATAGGGAAGACGCTCTCCCGAACATTCGCAATGCCTGGACACCAATTGGTTTGATCGAATGTAACACCAATTGGTTTTATCAAAGTTGCGAGCACTTGTTACATGTTATATAATCTCCACCCTATGGACTAAATCTTCACGAGTCCCTGGCTTACTGATGTCATTTTTTTTCATGACATTGGTTAGGGTATAAGGCGAATGCAAACCCTAAGATGTTAGAGAACTTTTAGGAAGGAGAAATAGACAATTTCAACACGTGCACCTACATTTGCCCACCATAACAAAGGTTATGATTGACTGTATGATTGGAGATGTGTTTTTTTTTTATGGTGTTACATTAGTAGGCTCGCCAAATATGCCCCAGTCTGCTCAAGAGTTTGAATATCAGCATCACCCTCTCCTCAATTATGTTCAAGCTTAACTCTTAATATGTCCTTAGCCTGACATTTCTGATGTCCAATTTTACATTGGTTCAAATAGAGGAAATTAACTCTAAGAAGGGGAAGTTTGCGAGCTCATTATTTATCTGTAAGTTTCAAAACGGGGAACAACCTAATATAACTGCTCATGGATCTAAAAGAGTCTTGAGTTGGCATTTTTTGTAGCCTAAAAGCCTGAGGTTCTCTTCAAAAGTTCAGGCATACGCTGCATCGAAGTTTGGCTCTATTTTGTTCATGTCTCGTGGTGTCGTTGATGCGGTTTATCCTGATTAACCAATAGCATCATTGGTGGTTCTGTGTGCATAGTCCATATTGTCGTGATCACTATTTGTTTCTTTTGCCATTTTTCTTTAGAGTTAGTGTTGCTTGTATATATGCAAAAGAGTGTTCTCTTACTAGTTTTGTTGGAAATTTTGTGTGCAGAGTCTCCCATGAGGTGGATTATGAAATGATTGAAATTTTAGTTGCCTGGATTGAAGTTCTTTTGGCTTTGGAGTGCTGGATGTGTTCTCATGTTTTTCACACGCAAAAATCCCCTGATATAGTGGCTATTAGATTGGCAAGTTGGCCTTGTTTTTTGTTTGAGGATCCATAGATTTAACCCAGGACGTCCTATTTGAAGTTGTCCTTTTTCTTAAAATGCTAATAAAACCACTATCATTAATTTCGCCTAAAGAAAATGATGCATTGACAACATAGATCAAATCCCAAAAAATAATCATTTCAGTAATTTATATTTCAGCAAGTTTTCCAAACTCTCAATCGCATTTGGAAAGCAAAACAAACAACCTTTACAGGCTTTGAGCGAAAATTAAGGAGGACTTGCTTTTGAAGAAAATTGGAAAAGAAGCAGCTATTTAAACAGATTACAAACCTAGCTTAGCTACTAAATTGCGAAGAACATGATAATTAAAACAAGATGAACACCCAAGCCACCTTATTAAAAGTAGTTATATCGTTCATTGTGACGTATAAACGCAATAATGAAATACAAAACTGGGGCTTCTACCTCCAGTGATACAACACGTATTTCCCTACATTCACAATGAGAGTTCGACTCAACCTATCCACCACATCATATTTATTATTAACAATGAACATATATTTCTAAGCATACCCACAGTATCCATACTCACATTTAACCCCATACTTGCATTTTTTACCACACTTGCCACAGTTGTTGGCATCCGAAGTAGTATTCATGCAAGTTCCATTGCAACAACGCATTCCAAACTTGCATTTATTCCCACATTTTCCACAATTGTTCTTATCGCTAAGAACATTTCGGCAATGTTTCTTGCAGCAATAGAGAATGCCGGTCCCTTTGTTTGCAGAAATCCCATTGCAAATGTTCTTGATTGGGTTACATTGTGCACCTTTTTTGATGATGCTGGCCAAGAACCTGCTTCTTGATCTGAAGTTGGGATTCGGGGAGTCGATTACGTACACTTCGTCATTGTCTTCGAGCTCCGACGATGAGAAGGCCATTTGAAAATGCAGAGCTAGGAGTGAATGTAACATGAGGAAGAAAATGGTGGTGAGCTTGAGGAGGTTGGCCATTGTCTCAAAAAATAGGGGGTTCGTTGGCCACAAGAGTGTAAAGAAAGGGAGGATGTGGATATTTATACTGTAGGTTGTTTGTTTAAATATAAAATTAAACATTTATAAAGTTGAGTTTTTATTTTCTCTCTCTATTTTATTAAAAACTTAAAAGTTGAGTTTCAAGGAAAGTCTACTTTGCAATTGATAAACAAGGAGAATAAACCAATTAGGCGCAACTAATGAGTTAAGATTAATTCATTGATTAGTGCATTATATTCGGCTAAAGCACATGAGATCAAAGAAGTTGGCTTCCTAATTCTCCGCCCTTGGAAGAGCCTTAGATTCGTTGTCACATTGGCAACCCTTCACATTAGGTATAGTCACCTATACATATAAAAGAAGAAGAAAACATTTGTGTGTGTGACTTTTGTACATGTATTAAGTTGTCAACTAAGACTTTTATTTATTTAATAATGGATTTTCAGAAAAATAATTTTCAAATTAAGTAACAAGAGTTGAAATTAGAGCATATATAAGAATCACTTAATAAACAAATAAATATGTATAACCAATAGTCTTTGGTCTAGTGCTACTTGTGATCTCCACCTTGTTTGAATGAGGGTTGTGTGTATTCATGTATGTGTGTGTGTGTGTATCTGTGGTGAATTTACTAATAAGTTAATTGTGATTTGTCTTATTGTAGTGTCGTAATTTGTTTTGAGTTTATTTTATGTAATATTTGTGAATATTTCTATATCATTTATAAAAAATAACATAAGAAAATATTTGTAAAAGTTACTAAAAATTATCATTTATAAAAAATAACATAATAAAATATTTGTAAGAGTTACTAAAAAAAATCTTATATTCATTGCATTGTCTAACATGATGATAACATGTGTATTGACAAAAGGAAGATGTGTCACATACAATCACCATACGATCAACATATTTTTATTTCTCATCCACGATCTTGAGAGTTCTTTTAGTATTGCTAAAATAATTTGATATATTTATTACTTAATATTGATATTTTTCAAAATATGTAAATGGAAGTCTTGTGTTATTCAGGATTAGTGAGATTCGGCAGATGGCTTGTCTTGGCGAGATTTTATGTCTTCGATTTGAGTGGTTTATGTAATGTGTTCAAAACTTCTTATTTTTCGATAAATGTAAAAACCATGAGTTGTCTTGGATTTTGATCTATTTACAAATATCTCTCTATTTTCAAGTAAAAAATGTTAGCTTTCAGGAAATGTGTTGATGTGTAAGGTTCTAAAAAACGCTGAGTGCTAGCAGAGGGTCAGGTTGGGGCTTAGTGGCTAGGTGGGGCATATAGGTAAACTTGTTATATATCGTATAAATAAGTATCTATTAATATTTAAAAGAAATACTTAATTATGTTGGGATTTATGAACTGCTAAGTAGAATGACATATAGATCATAAAGAATTAGAACATATTAAAAACATGGGGAACAAACATATAATGAGTGTTCATCCAAATATTCAACAAGCCTCTAACAATTTAATGAAAAATTAGAATGCAAAATGTAAGCTATCTATGTTTTGTTTAAGTGAGAATTGTGATATAGGTGGGTGCCTAAACATTTCTAGGCGCCATTTCTTAATTTTCAAACATCTGGAAATTAATCGGAACGGTGATCATCTGGCTAGTGCCTATACAGCATTAAGCAAAGATTTTTAATTACAACACTATGTGTACATATACATTTTTTTATTTCTATAAATGATGATTCAATACCAAATCATTATGCTAACTTATTGTGTAAACTTAATATAAAGTTTTATCATTTACAAACAAAATAGAAACCGTAAAACTTAATAAGAGTGATATATTTAAAAAGGAGTAATACGAAATTAAGTATAATCATTGAAAAATAAGTAATAAGCATTGCTCATTGAGGATCTTCTATTTCGGCAGAAAGTGCGTTTATGTCACAAGTAGGCCATGTTACACCCACTAAGGTTGGTTGGTTGATCCAATGTTTTGTCAACGTATATAAACAAATCAGGACTGCCAAAATCGGAAGGGTTTGACAGCTCTCGTGCATTCTTGCCCTCTGATTTCTGACCAAATCAAACAGAGATTACGCGTGTTGACCCAATTACTAGGTAATTCTTCTTTTTATTCTGGCCACCTACATCTGACGCCTTATGTGAAGTTTTGTCTAATGATGGCAACCTTTTCGTTTAAACTTTTTTCTTCTATTTTTTTATTATTATATTTTGTATATTGCACGATGATTCAAATTATTATTTAAAAATTAACTCGATCAAAATTATCTAGTTATCTAACGATTGTCTAGTAAATAGAGAAATCATGTCGTTTTGTTAAACACTAAAATTATGACAACATTAATCGAACGGTTAAACAATTGATTGGTCTTTCACGAAGTTGATATTTAAAGCATGAATTAAAAAGTAGACGGTTTCTGATTATCGTGCAAGATTGCATAATGTGGTGGAGAACCAAGAAGATAGAGATAGAAGGTACGACTTAGAAGGTCAGTAGCAACCCTTATTCCTTTTTTTTTTTTTTAACCTTGTTAGAAAAACTAGAAACATAAAAAGGCTAAATGAGTAATATACATTTATTTTTATTACAAACGATATTCTACACTAAAATAACGGAGAAAGATTTGAACTTAGGCCACAATGAATTGAAAATAAAGATCCCTAACTATTAAGACAATTCACTATTTACCATGCATCAACATTTATTTTAATTTGTCACAAGTTGTTTACAAATTGAGGGGCTTTGGATACTTGTCTCTCTATGCGCCAAGGAGCATTGCACTTTAGCACCTCACAACAAATCTACATAGGGCTTTGGATACTTACCATCACGTGCCATGTGCATTGAAGAGTTGGAGGTTTAGCTCCAGCGAACTGCTAGGTCTCCTCTGACGTGAAATTTTAACTCCGCCAGGATTTGTCTTTTAAGAAGTACAATGCTAGCTCCAATTGAAGTGAGGTAGCTTTTCATGAAATCCAAATTGAAAGACAAAGTGCAATAGTGCATGTCGCGCCACTTCGAACCCAAATTATTGTCTATTAGGGCTTTTATTTATACATACTCTCAAACAAGGTGAATGGAAATAGGGACCAAGGTGATCTCAGGACCATATGAGTGAGGAAAATATATAGGTGAAGTCTTTCGATGACTCTTCAAATGTTTGATACGGATCTCTTTTGTGCCTACTAAATGTTTGATATAATGCATGTTAGACATATCTCGACATGTTGCGTCGACAACACTTGACAAATTTTCTCTATATCACTTATCTGATTGCTTCGGCATGTGCTGATATCTGTTGATATGTTTACAACAAGTCCACCAAGTGAATAAACTGATTTATGTTTTTGTGTGCTTTGCGCTCTGTTTTTATCTGAAAAACTTGAACTTAACACTAGGACCCCAAGGTTCAAACCCTAGATCCACCACTGCTCTCAAATCCTTCGTTTGAGTCGTTAGAAATGTTACGTAGCACGCAAGTTACTCCATCCATACGTAGCTAATTGATCTGCCACCATGTTTGCTTCACAAATTATATACTTGATGTCGACCACCTGCAGATTAATTACAGGTGTTTGAATATCCTAAATCAACGATAACAGACGCCAATGAGGGATTTTACGATCTTGGAGAAACATCAAAATTTTCGGGCTTAAGAGCAGGATGAAACTCAAAGGAAGAACAGATCCATCAAAATTGAAACAATCTAAAGTCTTTACTTATCATTATGAGAAACGCTAAGGGGACTCTCTCAAAATGAGACTCTGCATGGACTATCTGTCACCTCATACTTTTGGCACAATATTTTACAATGTTGGCACGAAATAAACGTTAAACTGTGAGCTGGTAGAGATCCATGGAGAGTTTCGCTTTTTAGAGAGAGTCCCCTTAGTATTTCTTTGTCATTAAATCATTAAATTTGTTCTGGATTTATTAGTCTTTTTATAAGACTTGGAGAATAAAAAGAGGAGTGGAACTCAATGATTTAATTTAATTAGTTGTAAAACAAGAGTCTGAAGAGCTAGACATTGCTGAGACAAAATGCTTCCCCAGTTTTATGGTGAAATTATTTTAAGGTAACTTTACTAGCACTCATGTGTCTCTTGTTTTTCCAGAAACTACGTACTACGTCTCGTGCATACATACATATGTTTTGAATCTTAATGTTGGAAGTAACATTACCAACATTCCTCTTACTCGGGAAGCTTTTCCTTATTTTGTGTTAACCATGGCTTTTATGCTTCCCTCCAAGTCACATGCGTTGAATGAAATTGACATGCACCTATGTAAGCTAAATATTTGGGATAGACAATACACAAAATCATCTAAGCAGGAACAAATAGAATTAATATGAAGAGAAAGCGGACATGGATAAAGACAAACAGATTGACTGTGAGTTTTACGGGTTTTATTGTATGAAAAAATGTTTGCACCGTCAGATTTAAATGTAATGTGTCTTAAACTTCATGTTTGAGCCTATGGTGTAACAAAAACACATATTTGCATAGCAAACCCGGCTACATCATTGTTATTGAACATATGGTGTAACAGAAAGCAGAAGAAATCAATCTGAACATATGAAGACAATTAACAATGTTGTTCTACAAAAAAGAAATTAAGAGAAAGCATTCAATAGTGAGGGCATAACTAAAATTTAATAGCATCCCACGTTGCCTCATAGTCGATCAAACTTCTCTAATTCGCCAAGAAGTAAACATAATCCTGAATCTTGAGAAAACCAAATTCAATTAAATAACAATTAATAAGCAGCAACAATGGATTGTTTTAATCAAAATATTAACTTGATTAAACAACCAAGTCATCTCATTTTTGCCTCACAAACATAAGTTGATGAAGTTAGCAAGAGGGTACAATTTGTTAAGCTTAATAGCCTTTATGCACATAAAATACCTTTTCCAAAACACCTAAATAGATATATTTTTAAAATGAATAACTTCAATGCTTTAAGCCACATGAAGCTTGTAGAACAAAGTTAACATGAAAAATGAATAAAATGACATGCAT